CTCTCTAGTCTGAGTGATACGTATGCATGCGCCCTTGTGGTTTTTGTTTCTTCTTACAACTTAAACAAAGTAAAGGAAATGCATGCATGAATTTGAATTTTACTTTTTTTGTTTGAAATCAGACTGAGGGATGAACTAAGGGAAAGTGGTTACTTGCGTTTGACTAGGTCATAAAACCGGTCAGATAATGTTTTGAAGATGATTGATCTGACTGCTTTGTTTAATTTTGCTTTCCGAACGACCATACAATGTTCCTAAAATGATCGACTCAACTTTTTGCATGTTTTTTTGTGAGGGAGTTCAGGCTAAAGACTAGATAATGTTTATAAGATGAATGACTATGTCGAAATCATGCACATAATGTAATTCAAGAATAAAGTTTTCTATAATTATTATATATATACATATACATCAAAATTATTAGTTATACATTGTTTCTAAAATAAATTGTTTGGTTATAGTTTATCACTAAGGAAAAAAAATTGAAACTAAAAATATAATGAAGGTAACTTGGTGATTAAGCGATGTGTGAGTAATGTTTCTACAATGATTAACTAAGTTTACGCTCATTTCGAAAATAAAAAATTTCAAGAATTGTATAGAACTTGACTATTAGATGCATGAGGTAAGGATTAAGTAATATTTATAAGACAATTGGTATAGTGAATTGCCTAATGAAGAGATAAATAATTGTGCAACACGTTCGTGTATACTAAAGGCAAGTTGGGCAATATTTCTAAGATGATTGACTTGACTTTATGCCATATGTAAGATTGGGTAAAAAGTTAATCACTTAAGGGATCAATGAATTATCCTATGTGAAAACAACGTTGGGTCTAGGTCAACACTTACCTTGGTTGTGTGTGTTTGCTTGGTTATGAGTTAGTTCGAGTTATCCTTCGATACGTAGTTGCTTTAGATATTCGTCATGTACTGAAGCGATAGGAGTGAGTTAGAACATGAAAGACGAGAATTGAACTAACTTCATATTTGACTTTCTGTAAATTTTGGGAGATCCTTCTAAGGGAAGTGCTGCCGAAATTTCTACACAATTCAAGAAATTAGTCAAATTCTATTTTTTTTCAAAAGTTTTCGTTTTATCTGATCTTATATTTAGCTTAATATAAATCTTGAGAACCTACTTCTGCAGAAAAAGTACTGCCGAAATTTTATTATTAAGAGAATTGGACAAAATTTGACTTTTGTGAAGTCTTCAATTTATATTCAGCTTTGTATAACCTTTGGGAAACCTATTTGAAGTCTTCAAATTTTTATAAATCTAAAAGGTTGGTGAAAATTTTATCTTTGCAGAATCCAGATTTTGTTTTAACTTAAATCTGACTTAGTATAAATCTTGCAAGCCTCATTCTCTAGGTAGAGTGTTGCCAAATGTTTTCTCTAGGCGGAGTGCTGCCAAAAGTTTTGCTAATTTAAAGAGTTCGACACATTTTGACTATGTAAGTTAAAAATCTTACTTTATTTTTCATATTTAGCTTAGTATAAATTCTCGAAAAAAAAAAAAAAAAAAAAAAACTTTCTATAGAGGAAAAGTTACCAAATTTTTTACAGTTTCGACGAGTTAGATTTTGAATAAGGTATGATAAGGAATTTATTCTCTATATAGTATAATTATGAATATTGTACTGTGTTATATGTCCTATTCGTTCACTTCGATTGACGGTTGCCTATCTCCATCGAGGTTCTTCTGTTATGTTTTCATAACATGTCGGTTTTTTATTCAACTCTGACTTATACTCGTCAACCTAAAGTTTTAACTTATGTGGGTTAAATTGTTTTTTTTTTCTTCAGGATTTTATTAAATAAGCATTTAAAAATGGCTGAGTATTTTCTTTTGGAAGGTTGGACAAAGGGTTGGGGCTTGTGTAAATAAGGCAAGAGGTATGAGTGCAAAGAGTAGTTGAAGTTGACCCCGTGTAGTGTGTGGTCGGTTGATGTAGAATCTCAATATCATTATAGGAATGTTTGTGATTTCGCGTCAGAATTTGACCATGTCTGCGATCATTCCTATATTTGGAAGGAAGTCACATTGTGATTGTGAGAATGATCACCTCGTGTTCAATAATCTCGCTATGTTTATACTTTGTGTATTTGTGAGATCTACATGTGCGAGGGTTGAGTGGATTTGGGACGAGAGAAAAATGTGATCCCCATTGATTTTGAATGTTCAGTTTGTTAGTTGGTCCTTGAGGTCTGTGGTAGTCGCCAAAGCCAAACATCTTGACATGTTCCGAAGCCTCCGAAAATGGGACTTATTTCCATAAATCAGGGGTGTTTCGCCGCACAAAGGGTCTAATTCCGCCTACCTCTCCTCTCCACAGTGTGTAGGAGAGGGTAAGACTCGCAATCAGACTCGCGATTGTCTAATGTCATTAGATTAACCCCTCAAGATGCGATTCAACCGACACTTGATTGTCGAAGATGACCCTCAAAATCATTGAGGATCACTTGATTACTTGTACCACAAAGTACGTCGTCATTGCGAGTGTTTGCATATTCATGCATGACTAGCCAATGTTCTAGAGTTGCAATGTCCTGGTAAGGGAGGGCTTGGAGTTGTTCAGGATTAGGAGTCTAGTATTGCTGAATCAACATGTGTAGCTACATCTTTTGTCATCACTGGCATCATTAGTATCATCAACATTAGAATTTTTCATTCTCAGGTTTTTCTCAGTCGAAGTCGTATAATGGCTCCGGTGTTACAAACTGATGTATGTTCATATGGGACGCTGAGCCCAGTTCCCAGCAAGTGCTGCTCCCCACGAATAGACTGGAGCTTCTTTCTGTAAAAAAAAAAAAAAAAAAAAAAAAAAAAAAAAAAAAACATTGTGATGAAAGTTTGCGTTGCCGCTCTATTTATTCAGAGCCTCACGTGTGACGCCTGTTGAAAAACTAAGAGTTGAAAGTAAAAAATGGGATTAGGCACAATTTAAGTGTGAAGTTTGATTTTATTATTATTTGAAAGTGTATCGCGTGGTTAGATTGGTCGTCCAAGTCGACCAGGGTGAAACCACGCTTGGCAGATCAGCCCCAGAGCATATTCACATGTGGGTTCGATTTAGGTATTCGACCGTCCGTACCCCGTATGCTACAGTGAATGAGAAACGCCCTCGACTAGGCCACCTTTGCGATTGCACTCAAGGAACTTTCGTATGTGGTTCGGTAGCTCGGTGGGAATACACTCACCCAAGGAGGTGACAAATCCTGCGGGTAGAGGTAAGTTGTGTCTCGCATTACCTCTATCCTGCGGTAGGGGTTCACGAGAGGTACAGTTGACACACTGGGCCGGAGCGGCAACGCTCAACGAAAGAAGTCCTGCAAAAATCCCCCTGACACGCTGATGCGCTCAACAGCGGGAGGTTCGACAAGGCTCCGCTTACCACTAGCTGGAGACATCAATGGTTGAGAAAGGTACTGGTGGTTTAATATTCCGCTAGAATCTTGTGCCAGTCCAAATCTTGGCTGATTGTGAGTTACGCAACTGGGCCCTAAGCACCATGTTCAGCACAAGCACTTCTTTAGCGTTCCCTCATGAAGCAGTCCCCCTAGGTGGTGTCCAAAGTCTTTGTTGGTCCACGTACCTCCAGTCTCTCTTCGTACGGTGGAAGCAGATGAGTAAAATAATACAGTTCTGAACTACCAGTTACTACCTTGGGCTGGTCAGTTCTATGATGAAAACTTTTGCTTCGACAAACTAGGATCTCCAGCATTGGTAGTTTAAGTGAAAAAGGAGTCGGAACATTTCTTGATCTATATGTCATCTTTGCCCAGCGGCCATGCTAATCTTTCTGTGTATTGTTCAAAATTCCTCCCCCCCCCCCTGCAAATAACAACAGGCACTCTCCATCCTGCAAGGGTACGAGCCCATGCGTTATGGAGGAAACGCTTTTTTGCTGGCTCCGATGTTATTCGTGGGAAGCGTCGCATACTGTGAAGCGGACCCAGTGTCCCACTCTGAGAGACTTCATAAGACGGCGGCCCACCGCAAGTGGCGTGTGGCTCAGTGGTTAGGCACGGTTGTCAATGCGCATTGTGGTCTGAGGTTTTTCGGTTCAAAACTCCACGCCTCTGCACAGAGATATCGGTGGCCATTTACAAAATGCACGGTCACTTCCATACCCCCTTGGGCTGACGCAGGTCAGCTATTACAGACACTGCCTGCGCACCTCCCATGGTATCATCTAATGGGGATGCAGGTACGGGTTGGTGGTTAGACTGCTCACGTGTATTGTTTACCTTAGGCTCTGCTTGGGGGGGGCCAAGGACCTTAGGTGGGATGGGGTCCCATTTGGGGGAAGGGTTGGCTTGGAACAAGCTATGCTGGAGGATATTTGTGAAGAACCTACAGTAGGAGGGGTGTTAGTAGACAGACTTTGGTGGAGTAGATCGTTGGGGAACCAGCAGTAGGGCCTGTCTGGTTAAAAAGAATCACATTTTTTTTTGGCTTTCTGAGAAATATTGAATGGTCTGCATCCCATAAATAAGTTGCCGACTGTAGATGGGTACCCGTCGTGGGTCCAGAAACCGAGCCTGTCTGCTTGAAAAGAATCACATATTTTTTTGGCTTTCTGAGAAATATTGAATGATCTGCATCCCATAAATAAGTTGCCGACTGTATATGGGTACCCGTCGTGGGTCCAGAAACCGAGCTTTACGACACCCATAAATTAATTGCTGACTGTAGATAGGACGACATCAAATGACAGGGGGGACGGTTGTCCGCCCCTGTGCGGCTGTGCCCAGCAATGAGCGGGTCCGGTTCTGGCAGAGCCATGGGAAATACTTTCCGGCAAATTTTGATGCATCGGCAGGCAATCTCTCAGCGAAAAAAATGATGCAGGCAATACCCTTTAGGAAATACCTTCGGGCAGATTTCGATGTGCTTTTCCAGTGACCAAGCAAAAGGAAGTGGTCACGGATGGTAGTAGCACATGGAAAAACTGAAGGCTAGCAGAACCAGAAAGGATGAGTAGTCCCCTCCCCTATGTCTTTTCTTTTTGTTAAAAAAAAAAAAAGGGCCCAGTGCCCAAGGCTTCAATTATAGCAATGGTTACAACAGTAATACACACGCCTCTTCCCATTAGGGCTGGAAGAGCCTCAGCCACTGCTCCCCTGGAGACAGGTTCCCTGCATAACACGAATGTAAGCATAGTCCCGGGGCATTGATTGCTTCCCCTATCAGGAAGGATTAACCCCGTTTGTGTGCAGAATCCATCTCTGTCCTACGAAACTCCTCAAGTATCCCTACTACAATCTTCTACACGGTGAGGAGTAGTGGAGATATCAAATAGGCAAAGAGATTGATAACAGGGCGAAAGTGTTTAGTAATTCCTTTGTTATCACAGACACTAACCATGTTATCACAGACACTAACCAAAGGGGAGCACATCAGTTGGAAACGTGGTTGTAAAGGCGCAGGCAATTAGATCTAGACAGAATCCGGCTGATCTATTGCAATCTCGATCTAGGGTTGCCTGCGCCTATGTGTCCCCCGGAATCCCAGTTAGCAAAAGCACATACGCGGGGGCGACGCTGTTTATAAGAAAAACTCAAGTCGCACTACCCATATGGCAGAGCACAAGTCAGTCATATAGTCAGCCCTAGTGCCACCACAGCACCACCTGCCCTGCCARGTGGCATATACTTTCGTTTGTAAAAAAACTATACCCATATGGCAGAGCACAAGTCAGTCATATAGTCAGCACTAGTGCCACCACAGCACCACCTGCCCTGCCAAGTGGCATATACTTTCGTTTGTAAAAAAACTATGTGCCCCCAGCTATCGCAATTAAACAGAAACAACTCAAGCAGGGAGAACACCAATATAGCAAAATCTGAATAGCCACGTGGAATAAAACAAAACAGGCACGTCAACAAATCCTAGTACCTCCCTCCCTGTTGCCACGTGGAAGCAAATGTAGTAAGGCAATACCAATCTCTATCCTATCCCCATGCGCCACCATCCCACCCCTTTCTCCCCCCCACCCCCTTCCAATACACTGAACAAACCATTCCAGCAACCCTCTCGCTCTCCCCCCCGATTTCAAGACGAAACCCAAGGAGAAAGGAAGGGAGAGGAAAGAAGGGTGAGGGGGGGAGAAAGAATACCCCCGCCACGCTTACCACTCCTTTGTTGTTGTTGTTGGTGGTGCCGTTGTTATTATTGTCGTTGTTGTTGTTGTTGTCCGGCGCACACGAAGCCATAACCCCTGCGTTTGAACCACTGTCGTGCGCGAAATTGTTGTTGTTTATGGCACTGTTGTTGTTGTTGTTGTTGTTGTCATTGCTATCGTTGTTGTCGTCATTGTTGTTGTTGTTATTGTTGTTGTCCTTGCTGTCGGTGTTGTCGTCATTGCTGTTGCTGACAGGCGCTGGAGGAATGATCATTGATGTAGCTGATGAAGTCGATGTGGTTGCAGATGTCACTGACATCATTGAAGTCAATTCCTCCGGCGCTACTGTTGCCAACATGGTTATAGGCAGCTTCTCCCCTACACGCTTAGCTATGTCAGCACCTCTCTCACCTCCCTCATCAAGCAGCGTATAGCAGTCGTTGAGCAGATCATCCACCTGGCGCCAGTCAATCAACGCGTCCAGCTCTGGTGCCGGCCCCACCTCCAACTCCCAGATAATCTCCAGCATCTGCTGTAACACTGTTTCCACCCATTTCCCCACCGAGGTCGCTCCCCCAATAACCTCTGGTGAAGGTAGAGTGGAGATAGAAAGAAGAGAGACCATATACTGGAGTTGTTGTCTGCTATCGTCCATAGTACATAGCCACGCGTCAGCAGCATGTCGAAGGTCCCCTTCTGAAGCCATCTTATACCGGCTATTCTGGCCTCACTGTCGCTGTGCTGATTATCGCGCAAAGACACTCCAGTATCAGTGAACACGAAGTGAACACGATGCTCACAAGAGCTTCGCTGCCATGGCCGCCGCCACACGCCGCCCTGACTCTCCACTGCTACTAAGACGCTCTCGGCCAATCCGAGGACGTGGAGCGACTGCCCGCTGAGCCTTGTCAGACAGGAGCGCTCCGTGCGTTCGCACTTGAAGCATTTCGATGCTCATTTTTTTAGGAGAGGAGCATCAAGCAAGGAAGACATATCTGAAGCATCATGTCATCTTCCCTGGAGAGTCTTCTGACCCCCGCCGCTGGCAGCCAGTAGGTCAATCCCTCTCGTGGCCAGCACACGACCACCTGTGGGATGCGCTGCGGCCTGTGGTGGTTTAAATCACATCCCCTCTTGTCGCACAATGAGACGAAACCATGTAGAAAACTCATCAGGAAACCATGTCCATTCCCCCCTTACCTCAGTCTCTCTCCTCATGCATCCCCTGACTC